TGGAAATTGACCTTCAGACCTGAGCTTGCCGAGTCACATTTCTACTGAGAATTAGCTGGTGAATAATACAAAGGTTTCCTCTTACAATTTGTTGTGAAACAATAGTGTCCCCTTCATTTACTCTCCCCAGGAGCTAAAGGTTAACCCTTATAAAAGAAAAATTGTATCTTTTGCTAAAAGTTGTATCACAAGTTCACTGTGCAAGGCAGTGTTAATGATCTGATCACAGTAAGACTGAGAAATTCAACTATTGGCTGTGTCTTCAGAAAGAGGAGAGCAGAACTGATTGAAGAATACAGGGTTTTCAGTTATAGCAAAAGAATAACTTAGTCTGTTAGGACAAAGGCAGATGTGACAATGACTCTGCTCATTTCTTGCCCACCAACACTTTCCACTGTTGGGTGGTTTCCAGCACCATGTGAGTTGAACTTGGCTTTATTTTTAGCTACATATTGTATAGTTTAAACTTATATTTGACCATTTGACTAGAAAGAGGAGATACTGGTGTCGCAAAATGGTATAAGTATCCCCAAATGATAATGAGTCCTGCAAATTCTTCCTGAAGTGACTTGTACAATGTGTCATACTGTACACATCTGTGCCACCATAGTCCAATCTCATGGTAAGAAAGGTAAAATATATCCAATTTGACAAGCTACTTCCTGGGAAATTAAAATGGAAAACTTTCTACACCCATGTATTATTGGCAAATTTTTTTTATAAGTACCAGCATGAAACTTTCTTCCTTATCTTGTCACTGAGAAAAAAAAGCAAAAATTATAAAAATAAGTCAGTTGACTTTTTAAAAGCTAATACGTAAGATTTCTAAATATCAGGCCCATGCAATGGTTTTCTAACACATTGGACACACTAATGTGTGATTATTGTAATAAACATACTCACTGTCTGAGGAGAAGGTATTGTATCACTATAAAATTAATTGATCAACAAAACGGGCCTTTTCTTAAACTATGATTTCAAGAAAATGAAGGCAAATAAAACATCTCATGTCATTTATCTATTGAGACAATTGATAATTACTTTAAAGATAATAACACTTAGATTGATAAACATGAAATTTAAGATTGATGTTTAATAAAATTGACAAACATTTTTTAACTTAAAATTTCATGACAAAACAGGGAAATTATTGAGAAGAATTACTAAGGGGAAATAGGGCACTAGATATTATGAAGAGAGCTTGTAATAACAAAAGAAAAAGGCAAGGAGTCATTGTGTGGTAAGAACCCCACTATACCCTCTTCTTTGAATATCCTCACCCTACCCTTGGAGGGAGTGTATTTCTTTTGGGTGGGAAGACCTCTGAGGACAGCCACACTCCAAGCCAGAACCATGAGCTGCCCGTTGCAGTTGACTTTCTGGACTTTTAAATGTGCCAGGAATGACTGAGCAGACAAAAAAAAAAAAAAAATTGTACTGTAGTGATGTATGATGTTAGCGTTCGGGGAAAGTAGGGGATAAGTACATAGAAACACTCTGCCCTACTTTTCTGTAAATGTAAAATTATTTTAAAGCAAAAACTGTAAATATAGATATATAGATATAGATATACAGAAAGTGCTGAAAATGTTCCTTTTACAGGGAGTGCTATAGGAATTAGGCTGTGAGAATTGAATACCACTTGGAGGATGTTTGTTTGCCCATCTCAAATGCAGTGCCCAGCCTGAGAAGTGTTTGATGAAGAAAGGGCTTGAAAAATGCATGTCCTACTCCAGTGCCCAGTCCACTCTTGGGAGCATTCCCCCAGCCTGCAGATCAGTTTGAGTCTCCCAGTGTGGTCTGTTTGCACCTGGAGTTGCGGGGGCAGAGCCCTCTTCCATCTCTTTTATGTCCGAATAATGCTGCTTTTCTGGCCACCCATTGAATCAGGTCCCTACTGCATTTCACACTTGGATTAACTCAATCATGCAAATTATGTCAGGCCTAAAAGAAATCAGGCTGTGGGCAAATAAGAAATGCTAATAAAAATTGAAAATACGGCTCCCAGCCACGATGCTCCTTTATGGTGCTACTGCCCACAGTCCTCAGATTCACGTGTTCTGGCCCAAAGAGAAAGAGAGGGATAAGCAGAGTTGAGTTATATCATAAATAAAAACCACAGGGTTAATCAGATCCCCAAATCTGATGCACCTCCTCTCATAGAATGAGGTGGTTTTGACAAGATTAGCAGGATAAGAGGTCTCATGCAAAGTCTTCCTTGAAATATTTTTATTTGTCCTTTCTAAGCAGAGATTCCCAGAGCATTCTTTGTGGGCTGCCAAATATTTCTTCCTGTACAAATGCCATAATGTCTTGGAGCCCAGCCTTCACTCTGCTGGTCCCTCCACTTGCACACCTTCTAGAAGACACTTTCATCACTCATGTCCAGCTCCCAATTGTCTTCCTAGATCCAGTTTAAACAAAATCTCTGTGTTCAGAAAGCTTTACTGACTGTCTCAAGAGACAGGTACCCTCCTGCTCTGAACTCTGTCTTGTTTTGCTGGCTCTTTACCTATGTCACTGCATTAGTCCATTTTTGTTTTACTATAATAGAACCCATGATGCTGGCTACTTTATATTTTAAAGAGAGGTTTATTTAGCTCAAACTTTAGAAGACTAAAAGTCCAAGATCAGGTGGCCCCACCTATTTGGTTGCTGGTGAAGGCCCTGGCTGCGTCACAACCTAAGAAAGAAATGGAAAAGGAACTGGCCATATGCAAAAGGGGTCAAGTATGTGGGGTGACCTACTTTATGACAACCTACTTTCTCAAGAACTAACTCGCTGCCTGAGATCAGCATTAATCCCTTCAGAAGGCAGTGCTTCCATGGCCTAACCACCACAGACTAGGCTCTACCTCATAAGATTTACCAGCTCAATGTGGCCACACTGGGCCTCCAGCACACGAACTTTGGTACAGACACTCGAACCATAGCTGCTGTTCCTGCCTTCTGCCTTTGATGTTTGCAAAGCCCCTTGCTGCCTGGAACACAGGTTCCCTCATGCACAAGCCAGGCTAACTGCATATCTCCTGCCAGATCAGGTGTTTACACTCACTATTATGGGTGTTCATTAAGTATTTTCAGAAGGAGCTCTTGAAACTTTGGTCATAGATGATGAAAAGACTACAATGATACAGGTCATTGGAGTTTCTCATGTCTATGTGGGACATGCTGCATGCCCAGATGATTTGTTCTCAATTCTCCATTAGTAGAGAACATTAGGCAAATGAAGGGATCTGCTGTGTATGTTTCTAAACAAAAACCAAATTTCAAAAGAACCAGGAATGCACAAGGAAGTGCTGGACTCTATTGGAAGCCCTCGAAGGCACCACTCCAGCTAATCCTTAGCTCCAGGCAGTGAACCCAAATGTGTAGCAGGTGCTTGATTTGAATTCTCCCTCCCCTACTTAGCCCTGGATGCCCTTCAGGGGCCTCACCTACTTTACTTTAAAGCTACTGACTTTAAGATTGCCTGCCCAGAGAATTTCCTGTATCCACTAACATGGATTAGATTTACGTTTATTGAGTGCAGAGGTGACATTTAAAACTTTTCTGTATCAGTCACAGCACCCAGCCTGGAATGACTTTCAGAAGTATGAGTTCAGTTATTGTCCCAACCAGTGGAGTAAGTGGACCTGGCAGGGCCCTAGAGAAACTCCCTTCTCGCCCCATGAAACCCTGGCCTGCAGCTTGATAGCACTGTATGGAAAGGACACAATCTGAACAAGCAGTCCTCTCCAGGAAGATGAGGACAATGCAAACAGCAATGTCAAGACCAACTTTTCCTGCGTGCTTCTTATGAGGCAGGTGCTGTGTTTAAGTGATTTACACATGTTATCTCATTCAATCCCCTGAGGAATGTACTAAATAAGTGTCTTTATGTACCTTTTACATACAAAGAGGCCTTTGGGAGGTTCAGAAACATGGCCCTCAGAGCTTGACCCCTGAAGGAGCAGGAAGAATAGCATTTCCTTTGGCCGGTGGTCTTTTTTCTCCTGGTCCTCTGGCTTTGCTTCACTGCAGGCATGGAAGGAAGGCTTTGAAACTGAGGTTTTCTTACAAATGATAATTATTCCAAAAAGAGGGTTTGGAAGACTGCTGGTCATATCTTCTGGGTTAATGTTAACAGTCTGGGTTGAGCAGGGTCTTATCTCCATCTCTGGCTGAGGAGGCCGGAGATTATTTAGTACAGGGCTACACTTCAGTGACCATATGCACATCTAAGGAGTCAGCAAGGGCTCCCAGAGGATCTGTCTCCAAGAGCCATGCTTCTCCTAAAAGAGCTATACTATCAGGCTCCATTCCCCTTCGTCTTTATCTTTTTGCTTCTCATGAAGAAATCACTATGAAAAACACTGGCAATAAAATTATTAACCATTATCATTTTTCTCTTAAAAACCAACCCACTTACATTTAATGACTAAATGTAAAAGTAGGTGGGTTAAAATAACCATGCAGTCTGTCTTTCTTTGGAGGTGACAGCATTCTTTTCCCACTCAAAAATTAGAGGGAACCCCCAAGCCAAGCACTGCTTGTCCTTCTGGAGGCTTGTTGAAACTCGGAGCACATACCCCTGACAGATACAACGGGGATTAATGAGCCATGACCAGAAGTTTGATTTTTCTGTCAAGTGCTCCCATCCGTTTTTAATAAACAGAAGAACAACATCAGCTCTACTGCCTGCTCTCTCCTGTGGAAGCCAAGCCAGCCATTCCTGGTAGACTGTGTGCAGAGTGGAGTTATGATTCTAAAGGACTGACAAATGCTTTTACGAGCTCCTTTAGTCTGCTTCTGTGGTGCCTGGCTTTTTCCCCACCTTCCATTGCTTTGCTTCTATTCAATGTGGGCGGCTCAGTGCTTTGCCAAGAGAAACCGTTCAAATGCAGTATCACATTTACAACTAAATGGCTTCAATATAGTGCCACTGGTGCACTATCTGGAGTGTAAAGCTGCCAAAATACCCACTGTTTTCCTGTAAAGCCATGCTGGGTGCTCTTTCACAGAAAGCTGTCTCCTGTAAGAACTAGAAGTTGAGCCAAGGTATAGCTAACCTACAATAGCAGATGGTGAAAACCAGGTAGGATTGAAGAGCAATGTCCTACAACATGGCACTCCTCCTTTGTGTTGATGAAGCTGTACTTTGCTTCAGTGAAAAAGCTTTCTTTAACAAAAATACTCATGACCTGATCTTACTCCATGCACATTCACTGAAAAATTGCTTTGCTCACAAAAGAGATGTCTCTATGATAAAAATGATCAACAACAAGAATATGTTTCTTTTTTCTTTCCTGTCCTTTCTTTCTTCTTTTCTTTTTTTTTTTTTTTTTTTTCCTCTCTTCTCTCTTATTGGTCTGGCAAGACAAACTAGATTTATGTGGGACACTATTCCCTGAAAATGCTGCTCACCCTGGCTGCATTAGGCTGTACTGACCACAGGATGTCCCCAGTGTTCCATGGAAATTCCACGGAAAGGACATTTACCTGGTAATGCAAAAGTTGTTTCTTAAAGAAAAAAGGTCAGAGCACATAGAGTGGTCACATCTCCAATTTCAAACAAAACCTTGTTTGCAGAGGCTGTCTCAGCCACCACATAGCATTGCAGAGCTGGGCTGAGATTGTCCTTGAAGAAGAATGTGCTATCTACAAGTAAAGCCACTAAACTTAACAGCCCAGAGCTGCTATTTAATTGTCCCTGAAGAGAAGTCACCCTGAGGTAGAGTTAATAACCAATACCAGATCTTGTTTTTTTTTTTTTTCACTTTAATTTTCTTTGAAAGCTTCATGTTCAAGCAATGTGGTGACCAGTATCTAATGAAATTATGTGTCGTTCAAATACATTCCTTGGGCTGAGATATTTAGCAACTCTCAAAATAAGAGTACAGAAGAACTCAGCAGAGAAACATTTAAAAGGAACATGAATATATATCTAAGCTGATTAGGTTAGGAAATGTTAAAATAGAAATTGGTTGAATAATTAACTCAGTCTCCTCTTGCACAATGGCAAGGGTGACAGCTATGGCACAAGAACTTTGTGATGGACAAAGTGTTAAAGGGAAGATTCCCAAGGGAGAGGGTGGGAAAGGACAGATCCATCAATCCCTGAATCTTATGGAGGCTAAGTGTAGAAAGGCACTTGGGAAACAGCCACGTCTCTTTTCCTAAATGGGCACAAATTTCAGTGCTGGCCCAGTCAGCCAAGGACAAAGGCAGTTTGTCAGCTTCCTCCCCTAGCTTGGATGATCCCAAGTTCAAGTAGAGTTCTGCTGGTTTATGTTATCAAAGCTTTGTGAGTTGAGTCTACAAGTATATTACATCAAACCATCCCACTGGTATTATAATAGTTCTCATCTTTGCTTGATTTTAATTTAGCTACAATCTGTGAGCCTTTTTTTTTTAAACTAGGGGCTCATCAGAGGCAACAATCTTTTCATCTCAGGGAAGGCATATCAAGAGTCTAGACGGAACCTATTTTGCTATTCTTTCTTAATATTTGGTTATTTGCACATATTAGAGTAAGTTTTTACTGCTATAAAGACTTTTATAGGGTTAATTGTGTCCTCTCAAAATTCATTGTTGAATTTCTAATTTCAAGTACCACAGAATGTGACCATATTTAGAGATAAAGTCTTTAAAGACATAATTAAGGTTAAACAAGGTCATTGGAATGAACCCCAATCTAGTGTGACTGGTGTCATATAAGAAGAGGATCAAATGTGTACAGAAGAAAGGCCATGAAAATCACAGGCAGAAAACAGCATCCACAGTCAAAAGGAGGCCTCAAGAGAAACCCACCCTGACAACAACCTAATTTTGGACTTTTAGCATCCAGAACTGTGAGAAAATAAATTTTTATTGTTTAAGCCCCCTCTCCCATGTGGGATTTTATTATGGAAGACTTAGCAAATTAGTACTAAGGCAAAAAATTTCAGCTTGTTAATATGGTTTAGCTCATATCTTAATATGACACCAATGACTCACTAACTGGTGACGCCTTTGTATTCTACCAAGAGATTTGCATATATCAACTTATAGAGTCATAGAGGCAACTGTCTGAGGTTAAAATCTCCACATTTCAGATGAGAGACCAGGGTGAAGACTGTCCAGTCAGTCTCCAAGGCCCAAACTTGAACTCTAGAAAAAGCATGCCATCTTTCAAACCATGGCGTGGGTGGCTCACAGAAAGCTAGAAAAGAGGCCCTTTCCTTCCTATTCCTCTTTTACCCACTGATTTCTGACCCAGTATTTTAGCTGTGTGGGCGGATTTTGAATAGAATATACTTGTTCTAACAAAGACATGGGTTAACGTGGAGTCAAGCTTTAAATCATAGAGTCACATCTTTCTCATTTTTTAAAAGTGCATCTATATCAAGGTAGGTGCTAACCTTTTAAATTACCTTATGCCAATTCCCTGTGGATGGTACCAAGCAGGCCAGACTAGAACAGGAGCAAGTCAGTGTCAGGGAGGGGTGGGTGATTGGGCCCTGGCCCGGATGGTGGTAAATCGTGGAATGACAAAGTCGTGGAGCTGCACAGGCCAGATGCAACCTTTGGTTCATTTCTTTCATGTCTGTGTTCCAGCTCTTTCCACAGTATGGGCGGCTACAGAGTGGGCTGTGTGTGAGAGTGTGAGTCTTCCTTCCCCTCCACAGGGATTTGTACATGATGGGTTTGCAGACCTGCTTGCAGGCTGACTTGGCTTATCGCCCAGTACCCTTTCTACCACATGACCTTATAAAAATATCTGAATTCATTTAAAAAAAGATAAGCTGATAGATAATTATGCTCAGCACAAGGGAATTTGCTACTCTGAAAAGGATTTGCTGTCCAGGCTTCTTCAAAGCAGAAGAAGCTCTCTGTGTGGGTTGAAATATGAAAGCTTTACAGAAATTCAGTTTACTACTCTTAAAAACTCTTCTTTTTAAAGAGAAAATAGACATTTAAGCACTGGGGACTTACTAAGTGGGTGAAGTAATCACCTACTAGAAATGTTCCCTGAAGAGAGTCACAGTCAAGTGAAGAAGGGCTGCCCTTCACTGCACCTGAACTTGAGGTGGGCTTTCTGCCAATGACACCTGAACCCACTGCTCCTCTTGCATTGGGAAGCTACATCCTTACCACAACTTTGTCGGAGAAGAATGATGATTGCCCCATATCACAGATCACAAAACTGAGGCCTGAGGCTAGATAACTTTCATGAGGTCAAGTTTCTTACTGATCTAAACCATTATGTGCTTTGCAAAAAAAACCCCGCAGGGACATGAACTTGAAATTTAAATGATAAAAATAGCAACTACACACTCACTGACTCCAAAATAGAGAAAACACATTGACCTTTGGGTATTGAAATTGTGGAATAGCTGGAAACTGTTTCCAAACTGGAGTGTGGCAGAGTTTAAGGGGTCAATCAGGAGGAATACAAAATCTTATTTTTAAAAGAGTGTTGCTACATTTTCAAGGCACCAAGGACAATCTGAAGTGGGGGTGGGGAACTGGTGCAAAGAAAATGTAATGTGAACATTTTGTAACTAATTTACCTCTAAAGTAAAACATAAAGAAAATCCATATAGTCTCCATAATTGTAGAGCATGAAAAACATTCTTTTTTAAGGATTATGAAAATACTCAAATCATTGTTTGAGTCAACCACTTAATGTGAATGTCTTTTTCAAAATACCCAACTATAATCTCAGAGGATTCGTGTGAGCTTCTATGCCATGTCTTCTTTGTAGTAATAATAAGCAGAAGGTAAATACAATTTGGTGTTTAAATAGCTTTCCTCTTCTTTGGCCACTCGGGTCTTCATTTCATTTAATTAATCTGTTCATTGCTGGTGGGTGCCATCTCTGGGCAATGCATTGGGATATTTAGATTTCCTGGTGTGAAAAAAAAAAGAGCTGTCCATGTGGCTTGATACTGAATCATATGTTTGGAGGTGGGTGTGTGTGCAGTTAATCTGAAAGCATATTTCCTTGTATCTCATGTGTGATAAGAGATTTGATAAGCTGTCAGGTGGCTTCTGCCTATTTCAGCATCTATAGTATATTACTTTCTGTGCTGGATTCAGCAGCTGAGAGAAAGCAGATGATTTATAAAAAATTACAAAGCACAATGCAGGTGCTCCACTGGATGTTTGCCTTCTTTTGCAGTTACCTGCTGCTGTGCAGGATGTTAACTTCTGATGCTGAATATTTAAGTCCAGGACCTTACTTGGTTTTCCATGTTTTTGGTAATGCACAGAGCAGCTGAACTTAGTAAGCCTTTCTTCTCTTCCTTAGTGTGTGTGTGTGTCCATGCTTCTCTCAGGGGATCCTCTGGCCATTCCCCTGGTGGGGAGAATGCGTCCTGTGTGTCCTGGGAGTGAAGGTGGGGTTGAAGAAGAGGTGAGGGAAGGCAGGGATCATTGCCTACCTTTGATGCTCTGACTAATGAGAGAGGCCACTAATGAAGAGCCAGGTTGGGTCTCTCCTTTCATAGAGTCTGAGACCATTACCTAATCAGTGCCCACTAACCTGCGGGCAGCAGGCCTGCTTTCCGGATGGATGGCTTCCGGCTCCCTGTGCTGCTCCCAGTCCTGGTGCCAGTGGCCGTGAATAACCTTACTTTTGTGTGTATTTATTTAATTTTGAATTTCTCCATCCTGGTTCTTTCCACCTCCAAACTCCACCCTCTGCTTGCCAGCCCCATGCGGTGATGTTTCTTGAAACTTAGATTCTTTCTTCCTCTATCCCCCTCTAGTTCTGGAAGCATTTTGTTTCTGTACTGCTTTGTGAAGCGGGTGCTGAGCTCAGATCCTTGGGGCTTTAAAGTTGAATTAATTATTAAACAGGAAGGGAGCAGTACTTTCAGCGGGCGCCAAGTAACTATACTTAAACTGCAACCTGGCACTGTTTTCTCCACCCCTGTGCTGTGGTTTGCTGAAGGCAACTGGAAATTTTTATTCTAGTTTTAATCAAGCATTTCTATAAGTTTTCAGGCAGTTACGAGTCAGCATGCAAACTGCGGGGAAGCCAGTCTTCATGACCTCCTGACCATTTTTGTCAAAAAAATTTTTTTCTTTTAGATCAGAACTACTTCCCTAGTTAATGAGTCAATCTGAAATTACTCACTCCCAACTGTTGGTGTTTCCTGAGAAAAGGGTGGGCTTTTCTCTCGAATATATTCATGTTTTATATTGCTTAATCTCCATTTACAGACAAGGGTGTTTTTCAAATAAAGCCATCAGAACAATGACTTTGTTGCTTTACGATTGTTATAATCAATGCTTCCATTTATGGGATAAGTTGACTTTTCCAACGCCTGTATTTAAAAATTCTAATGAAGACATGCCGTAGAATTTCTTAATTTCCTGAGTCTACTCGTTGATATTTTTCAGAAATTCACAACCCATTGGCCCAACTTGGCCTAAGATTCTGGGAATGGATGGGTTTTCTCACAGAGCTGCATGATCAAGACAGTGCTGGTATGTTCTAGGAAAACCCAAGCCTGTATTAAAGGTACTGAAATCACAGCCTTCAATGGCTGGAGCTGCCCCACATGGGGCTCACCATTTGACTTTCACCTGGATTCTGGAGTGTGGGCCTGGCCTTTCTCAGCCTCAGCTGAATGGCTTCCCCAGAAAACTCCAAGGAAGTGCTTAGCTCCATTAAATCTCACCCTTGTAGCTGAACAGTGATGCAGGCTGTTAGGGTAGGGAGGAGGAAGAGCTATCTGGGTGTAGTTGGGTGCGTGGGCAGGAGTGTGAAACAACCTCAAGAGGAAAGCGAACAAAGATTTGGTTAAAAATGAGGATTCATGCATATAAATTTGGCACGGGGTGGGGAGATGTCGTGGTGATGGGGAGCCCAGTGCACACAACCATCCTACATCCCTACCAGTTGGCTGATCTCTCCCAGTGTGCATGTGAGAATGCCTCCAAACAGAACACAGCACAGTTATGTCACTTCTTAAAATGCCTGGAAACATTACACCAAACACAGACTTAGACCTCTCTAAAAATGTGAGATGTTGGGCTGCGGGTGTGTCTCAAGTGGTAGAGTGCTTGCCTATGTGTGAGGCTCTGGGTTCAATCCCTAGTACTGTCAAAAAAAATCTTTACAACCAATGATTGGATAAAGAAAATGTGGTACATATACACAAGAGAGTATCATTTAGCCATTAAAGAGAATGAAATTATGTCACTTGCAGGAAAATGAATGAAACTCTTAGAGATCATGTTAAGCAAAATAAACCAGACTCAGACAAAAATCATGTTTTCTTTCATATGCAGATCCTAGACCTAAATAAATATTTATATAATAGAATATATATAAAATATATTTAAAATGTTATATATAATATAATATATATAAAATAAGATATATATTATATATGGTTATTTTGTATATATTATGTATTTATTTATATTTGTGCATTTATATATGCACATATATGCATGAATGCAAAAGGGAGACTGTTGGGTGGGGAGTCTGGGGAAGAAAGGGTAATAGTAGTGAATATGATCGAAGTATATTATAGACATATAGGAAGCTAGCATAATGAAACCCATGACAAATTGTGAAAAAAGGGGGCAGGATGAGAAAGAATAACCAAGGGAGTGAATTTGATCAAAGTCCAGTATATGTATGTATAAAAATATCACAATGAAATTCCTTTGTACAAGTAAAATATGCTAAAGAAAAGGGAGATGTTCTGTGAGCCTTGCTAGCAAATATTATTTTTCAATGTTTATTTTCCCTTCAGGAATGAAAAGCAGGTACTCTTGTTGACAATTGTTTATTTTAAAAATATGTAAAAATTTTACCTCATAGGTATTAGCTACATCTTGACTATATAATTTCCAACAGTCGCTACATTTCGTTACATAATAACCCAACAAATGAACTTACAATAAGCAAAGACACGAGGTCTACTGACTTTTTAAAGTGATCAGTTAAAGGCTGCGGATGTAGTATCTCGGTGGTAGAGCACTTGCTTAGCATGCAGGAGGACCTGGCTTCAATCCCCAGCACCACATGCACAAAAAACACCTTACAAGAAACCAGGTAAATTTACATTGCTGAGAATTTAACTAAACTGAAAATTTCAACCACCTCTCCTATACCTTCCCTGGATTTCTCCCCACTTTCAGTGACCGACAAGTCACTCTCTGCCTCAGGGCCGTGCTTTGGTCTCCCGCCCTCTGGATAGCGAGTTTGGTCAAAGGATTTAGGATTCTACAATGGCCACCCTGGAATCATCATGTTCCTTACCAGAAAAAATAACTTAAAACCCAGATTGAAAATGATATATTCCTCATCAACAGTATTTGGAAAACATGCCTATTAAATGGACAACTTGGGCAAATTTTCATCTGTTGTCTATCATTTTCTCTCCAGAAAATATATTCTGAGCTGGTTTTAAATTAAATGCTAAGATTTCTGATCTTAGCAAAAATCCTTATCCCTTTTATTTGGAAATGGCCAGTGCTCATTCCTTACTTAAAGAGTGTTTCCAATACATTTTTTTACTACTTTTTATTAGCACACATTAATAATATGAGGGTGTTTCATTGTGATAATTCCATAGATATGTATATCGTACTTTGAACAAGGTCACGTCCCCTATATTATATTCCCTTATACAAAAAATTTTTAAAGTGTTTTATTTAAAATACCCTTCCAGGAGCTGGCTCTGTTGCATATCTTTAGCTATCAGAGCATACTCAAAAAGTAAAAATTATCTTCACTTAGTTAGGAATCAGAAAAATAACCCTTTAAATAGGTACAGTAAGCTGTTGACTATTAGGAGAGCATGGTGACACAGAACGAGTAAGTAATGGAGGGTTAATTTGATAAACGTGTGATATACACAGACCTGAAGTACAAGGTGAAACCCCCTTGGACTATCAATATACACTTAATGTTTAAAAATGAAGGGCAGGAGGGAAAAATAAATCTTTTCCGAGGGAGGGTACAGTGGGAGAGGAGTGGCCACAAGGAAAGGGGGAATGAGGGTGAATTTGGTGGATGTATTTTGTATCAATATAAGAAAATAAAAAATGAAACCTGTTGAAATTTTTCTAAGAAGGAGAGGAGGGGGAAAGAGGGAGAATGATGGAGGGGGTAAATCCAACTAAGATATATTTTATTTTAAACACATATGTAAATACCACAGTGTATCCCCTGTACAACTGTTAATGCTAATAAAATCATAGAAAAGCATAATAACCCTTTAAACCAACAAAAAAGGTAAAAGAATATGGAAAATAGCAATCATGTATTTTTAACACAGTGCTGGGGACTGAACCCAGGGCCTGCAGGTACGCTACCCTAAGCATACCCCAGCCCCGTGTGTTGCTTTTTAAATGCCTTTTCCTCCCCTAGTTTTAATTCAGCCTTTGCTGATGCTAAAAGAAAAAGATAGTAAACGCGTTTCTGTTTGATCGTGCTGAGGGGGTGTAAACGACTATGGAGACCTCCCTGTCGTTGGAGAACTAGTAAGTGACCAGGCGCTGCCTGGCTGCAGCCACTCTTCCTGACCATATTCCCAGCTGCAGAGGCAGCAAGGCCTTCCAGGCCCAGCTCCCGGGTGCGCCCAGCCGCCTGCCAAGAGACCGGCTGTCTGCAGGTGGATGGGCGACAGCCCTAGGCACGGCTCTCCCTGCCTTCCCCAAAGGTCTCTTGGCCCTTCTGCAGCCCAGCTGGTTCCAATTTGAGGCCTCTACTCAGGGCGGAGCTGTATTGGGTTTCTTCCCTGAAACCAACAAAACCTGCTTCAGCATTTTGCTTGGATTAAAATATTTGTCCCTTTTTTCACAGGGCAGGAGGAGGACTCCTGAAGCGTCCGAAGGAAGGAAATCATTATAGGGCCCTACAGAAGTAGGTCAGGTGCTACAGCTGCTCATAGTTTAAGAGGAAGAAACATCGGACCTCAAACCTGGAATACAACTCTTTCAAAATGTTTGTGAGCAGCCCAAGAAAAACATCCTCTGAGCCTTATCTAATAAGCGTGATCTCTAATCGTCTCAGTGTGTGCTCTGGTTCCCTTAGCACTTTGCACCTACTTGCCTGAGCTCAGAAAGACCAGCAGAACACAGAAAGAACTAATGAAGGGGATTTAATAGTTTGTGTTAAAGTTAATATGGTCCATTAGGAGCTGTCATTTTTATAAACAATGAAGATATGTGACCCCCTTTCTTTGGTGTAAAGTCACTCCATGCAGGACCTGTAAACACAGTCATGATGGGTGGACTACGCATGAGCGACACAATTAAAGCAGTGCTTGGAAAGTTGAGTTCCTCTCACATATTTGGTTTCTTGCTAAATAAACTTGGAAAGATCATACATGTGAAAGCATATGCTTATATTATAAAAAATAACATGTGTGCATTTCATTAAGGAAATCAAAGACCAGATATCTTCTAAGTGGTTTTGGTTTCTATAAGCTTGAGAAATATCAGAAGTGATTAGTTAAGTTAGAAGCATAGTTTTAATTCTTTAGTTCATGCTGTGATGATAAAATAACCACTCTTTTAGGGGAATTTAGACAGACATAGAATTAGTCATTCATTTTGCTCAAAAAGGTACAATTCCAACCTTAAAACCATGCGTTAAAAAGTTTTCATACAACCTGTTGCAAACATTCCACAACCATCAGATACTTTTGAAATTTAGTTTTTAATTTGGCAGCTCCCAGGCAGAGACAAGTCTTTGGAAGTGATATACTTTTTGAGAAAATGAAATCTGATTGCCTCTCTCTCACTCTGTAAATAGAATTTGCTCCTTTACTCTTCCTTCTTTTTTTTTTTTTTTCCTTAAAGACAAATGATTCTTTTGTAAGTTTCAGGTCTAGCAAAATTTGATGGAAAAATTCTTACAAACCCTTATTATCTCCTTCTATGTTTAGTGGGGAAAGGGAGAATGGGTAGGAAAAGGAAAAGTCCAGATTAAAATTATTCTAGTTATTCCCATACACTTGAAAGGTCCAGCGATAAGTGGTTTTTTTTTGTTTTGTTTTGTTTTTTTCTTTTTTTGAGAAGTAGCCTCAGGCAGAACTTGGTATCAAAGAAGTTTAAGAACTAAAAACATTTAAAAGCAGATCACAAATCCTTCCTAACAAAGCAAAATCAAATCACTGATCAATAAGTACAGCTGGGTTTAAATTGTTTCCTAAAAAAAGTCTTAATTTTTTTTTTGAATAATAGGCAAGAGGCTAAACCTTTTATGCTTTGGAGCAAGCCCCTTCTGGAAAAATCTTTCCCTCTCCTCTAGGGAGCCTCTCTTGGGATGAGCAGTGGTTGCCCTCTTCTCACTGAACACAGCCTCATGTCCGGAAAAGACTGGCAACATGGCTTCCCAGAACGGGAAAGTTGGTCTTTAATCTATGGTGAATGCTCTAGGATGTTTTAGCTCCCAGTCCCCACAGCACAACTCCATGCCCCGTGGTCATCTATGAACGATTTGTGAGATGCCCAGACTGGGGTGGCCCTGATTACTGTAAAATCAACTTGGAACCTAAAGGAAATCTTCAACAAAGAAAACCCCTAGTCTTCAGGACCCTGAAGCCACAAAAATGCACTGAGTGGATTGTGGCTTGCTGTCTAGATGGAGGCCATGTGCAGGACGTTGAAGTCTACCTCCCAGCATCTTAGCTGAGATGCCCAGCTCCATCAGTGACTGAATTCAAACAGGGCTTTTAAAAACAAGGGGAGACAGAAAAGAAAGAACACCAATGAGCAAGTGGTGTTCAATTTATTCACATATGTTCCAAATGGCACAGAGATAAGCAGAAAAGGGTTCTGGTGCATTTTTTTTAATGATTTCATTATCACCAGACGAGAATTGAAAGATCGTCCAGATGCTATTAGAAAGATTGAAAAAGAAGATTAAAAAAAATAATAATACCATGCAGGAGTCTCTGCTAAAATAAAGAGCCAAGGCTGACCAATGAGATCTTTGAAGTTAGGCCTTTTTGTAAATAGGAGCTGAATGGACCAAAGTAAAGCACACCCACAGCGGGGATACACTGAGAAACTCCTTTGAACATCAACTTAAATATTAAAATGAAAGACAGGACTGTAAAATAGGTACAGTGTGTGGGTGGGGGGGCACTAGTGGGAGGGGGAGGGTGAAGGAAGGAGTTGGAAGTGAGGGAATATGGTTGATGGACTTCATATACATCTATGAAATAGAACAAAGAAACCTCTTGCAACTGTTTCAAGTGGGGTGGGGAGGGGGCTCAGGGGGAGAGAGGACGGGAGTGATCTAGCTAATGTACACTATAAGACTAATCGGAATTGTCACACTTTGAATCCCCATCTGTATAATGAATACATCCTAATTTAAAAATGTTAATAAAAAATAACTAATACCATGCATGATTCTCTGCTCCAATTAACAGCCAAGACTGACCAATGAGATCTTTGAAGTTAGGCCTATTTGTAAATGATTTTATTTAAAAAAGGAAGGTTGCGATTATGTAGAAAAATGAAAACTTTTAGAAAGGTTTGGTCTTGGCCTGGCTTTCCTTCTCTCCGCAAGCACCGGGTGGACGGTAATTCAAGCACACTGGCAGGGCAAGAGGGTGAAAGGAGGCTACATTCACCCAAATTTCATAAGCCTGGGCAGTGAGTGCCCAGACAGCCTTTGTCATACCCACAAGCACCTGAGGAGGGGGAAGATTATTGCTGTTCCAAGAGTCGGTTTGAAGATCTATCCCTTCCCTGTGTTTGGCTCCCTCCTCCCCCATGATGTCCACCTGGATGTGACAAGTTCTGCACTTTTGCAAAGTGCCTGGCCACTCTAAACTGAAAAAAGCTCTCTCCTTTCTCTGGGGAGGGTGGGGGACAGCTTCAAGAAATGAGCAAGCTCTGACATCATGGGGAAATGCTTGACCACCTAGAAAAATGGTTTGTGATCTATTTATGGGTGTGAGTATGTGTGTGTGCCCATGTGAGCATGTTTGTGTGTGTGTTATAAGTAGGTTGTAAACTTACTGGAAAAGGGTGAGGGGTGCAGTCCAAAAATCTTCTTCCTGCTCAGAGTTGCCATCTCCTAATTGCTCACTAAAACTTGGTCTGTTGCTGGGTGGTGATAAAGAAGGCGCAAAGAGCTGGCAAAATTTACTTGTTCAGGAAAAGCATGTTCAGATGGAATCTTACCCAAGGACTGAGGCTGCCCTTTTTTTTTATTGTTTTATTATTCATATGTGCATACAAGGCTTGGGTCATTTCTCCCCCCTGCCCCCACCCCCTCCTTTACCACCCACTCCACCCCCTCCCTCTCCCCCCCACCCCCTCAATACCCAGGAGAAACTATTTTGCCCTTATCTCTAATTTTGTTGAAGAGAGAGTATAAGCAATAATAGGAAGGAACAAGTGTTTTGTTGGTTGAGATAAGGTTAGCTATACAGGGCATTGACTCACATTAATTTCCTGTGCATGTGTGTTGCCTTCTAGGTTAATTCTTTTTGAGCTAACCTTTTCTCTAGTTCCTGGTCCCCTTCTCCTATTGGCCTCAGTTGCTTTTAAGGTATCTGCTTTAGTTTCTCTGTGTTAAGGGCAACAAATGCTACCTAATTTTTTAGGTGTCTTACCTATCCTCACCCCTCCCTTGTGTGCTCTCGCTTTTATCATGTGCTCAAAGTCCAATCCCCTTGTTGTGTTTGTGCTTGATCTAATGTCCACATGTGAGGGAGAACATACGATTTTTGGTCTTTTGGGCCAAGCTAACTGAGGCTGCCTTTTGCTACAACTTTTGCAAACATTGCTTGAGACCCTGGTCTGTGGAATGATGGAGGCAAAACCTCTTCTTCAAAGACAACATGCCTTGTACTGCACTGCAGCTCCCCACACCATTCCTGTCCTGGTTCTAGGGTGGCTTGCTACCATACTGTCCTCTGACTGTTAGAATCAGACCTTCTATCATAGGACAAAGCACTGGAATTGTACCTGCAGGGCAGATCATCTTCATTTACTTTTGGACTGACATTAGTGATTTCAGCTGCCCAAACTTTCTACGTTAGGAATTACAAAAGCAAAAGGGCTAACAAAAGCTTTACTTTCTAACATCCCAGATAATCACTCCTGCCACCAAATTTCATGAGCACAATAAAAATAAACATGGACAGTTGAGGTATTTTGTTGTTGTTGCTTTGTTTTTGACAGTACTAAGGTTTGAACTCAGGGCCTTGCTATTGCTAGGTAGGCATGCTACCTCCTGAGCCACAGCCCCAGTTCATTTTGCTTTAGTTTATTTTTTTCAAATAGGGTCTCCCTAACTTTTTTGCCTCTAGCTTCAGTCCTCTTGCCTCTACCTCCCAAGTACCTGGGATTATAGAGATGCACCATCATGCCTGGCTGATAGTTGAGTTTTCTAGTTGAAATTTTTAAATGGGCACTTGTTAAGTTCCTCAAAGTCTAACAACACAAATTTATCTTTTGGCTTATATTTCCTTAACTTTTACCACAGGCATCCCCTATTGCCAAAAAGAGCTTGTCTGACCACTGCAAGATGACTCCTTTACACAGAAATGAAAGCAAACCCAGTATGTAGAGATGTGTATCATCCACTAAGGGCTGATCATAGTCCAATGGTGCAGCTAGGTTTCTGTGTTTGTCTTCAGTCTGGTTGAAGGGTGATCCTCCCAGCCAGCCTTCAGAGAGATAAGGTGTTCCTGAAGTTCCTTTTGCATGTGGTACAAAGCATATTGTAAAGAGGCAAATTAATTCCCTTAATTTAAAAGCCACTCACTGAGTGCCCGGTATGTGCCATGCTCGTGACAAAAAACCGCAGGTAGCAGGTGGGTTGGGAATGTGGTCCTGCACAGCTCTTCTCATCTTCTCATCGTGTCACTAACTGGAAACAGGGCAGTGTGTCCCACACTGGTGCTGTTTGCCTTCATGGCTGCTGTGTGTTCAAGAGCAGGATCGTTTCCTCCCGCCATTACTGGCGACTTGCACAACACAATAACATTCACTAATGGAGGAATGGAAATGAAGTGCCTGGGTTCTGTTTTTTCCCATGAGTGTCAGATAATGGCTTCTTTCTCACTACATGGACATGCTTTGAGATCCTCCTGTAGGCAGAGGCTGAACACATTACACCTTGTCTCACCTCTGCCAAACTTTAGCTTGGGAAACTGGCTTAAAGTGATCTGTCTGAGAATTACATGTGAGCATAATCACAGGAGCAATTCTACTTGATCTTACAAGCCCCTCCCATCTCCATCACTCACACTACTAGAATAACCTACCCTGTTTTCACCCTCCACAACTTCCTTTCGCTCTTGATCTGCTCATTCTAGCTTGGGAACTTGTACTTACTTGTCTTTAAGTCAGCCTG